CCTTTCTGGTGTTTGCTACTCTAACTTGAAATTATTCTGCTTTTCTTCCTTCCTAGCTGTTTTCAAGTTTGTGTTTTCTTAATTTTTGACAACTGTGGAATTTCTACTCTTTTTTTCAAACTTGACTATTTATTCAAGAGTTATTTTGTGATTTCATATCCAGCTTTTCTCTGTGTTTGAAAAAGGGCTGAAAGGTTTATATCTGTGTCAGTGCTGTCCACCATATTGCTTGAAGTTTTATTCCTATTCCTTTGTAAAACTCACTGGAAGTTTTTCCTTGGGTTGATATTTTATCTGTGTTTCTAAAGGACTCTGCCTGTCTTCATCATATAATCTGTGAACATTATTTTCCTGCTCTGCTAGATTCTAAATTTATTTTAGATCACAGAACGATTTTTATTGGCTTTATATTTCTATGGTGACCATAGTCACCACTATATCCCCAAAACCTAGCATAGTGCCCTACACAAATGTTCCTGATATTTGTTAAGTTAATAAAAAAATAATAAGTAGAATATTCCTACTTATAGTATCCTTGCCTCTGATGTGAAAATCACAAAGACATAATAGGTACAGTAAGCTACAAGTTTTATGTAATGAATATTCCAGGATACTTGGTAAAAGATCAGATGTTAAAATAGGAAACATTTTTGTCTGGAAATTTAAGCAACTATCTTCAAAGGTTGTTCTTGAATTTTCCATTTTTGTCATTTTTTCATAAGTAAAAATTTAACATAGCTGTTCCAACTAGGTGCTGGCACTTTATTGTTCTTCAGAACACTAGCTTATTAAGTTTGCATTCATATTTGTTCTCAGAGTTTATTGCAAGAGCTTTTTCTTTACAGAGTACTATAAAGACAGGACATAAAACTGCCTACAAAGCCTGTAATCCCAGTGCTTTGGGAGGCCAAGGTGGGAGGATCACTTGAGGCCAGGAGTTCAAGGCCAGCCTGGGCAACATAATGAGACCCTGTCTCTATTTTTAAAAATATTTTGCCAGGTGTGGTGACACAAGCTTGTAGTCTTAGCTACACAGGAGGCTGAGGTGGGAGGATCACCAGGCCCAGGAATTAAAAGTTACAGTGAGCTTTGATTGTGCCTGGGTAACAGCAAAACCCTATCTCTTAAAAACAAAAAAAGGTGCTTACTGTCTGATTGGGGAAACAGTAATAACTATATGTGAAATTAGGATATTTCCCAATTTATTGAATCTGGACAATTTCAATAAGTAAAGCTATAAAGTGGAACATGGTGGCTCATGCCTGTAATCCCAACACTTTGGGAAGCCGAAATGGGAGAATTGCTTGAGCCCAGGAACCCTGGCAACATAGCAAGACCGCGTCTCTACAAAAATCAAACAATTAGCCAGGCCTGTTGGCACACACCTGTAATTCCAGCTACATGAAGGCTAAAGTGGAAGGATCACCTGAATCCAGGAGGTTGAGGCTGCTGTGAGCTGTGATCATACCATTGGCATGTTACTGTGTCTTCATAATTTAAATGTGAGCCCATCTTAACTAGAAAAATTTAAATAGCTGAATATACAGAAATGCCAGTGTTTGCTAATAGGGCATATTTTCAAAGTGTAACTATGGCAGCAACTTTTTAAAATTCTATTTTCAAACTTTATTTAGTAGGGTACACCAATTTTCAGTCATTAAAGGGATGCAACTCATACTATGAGTTGCAGAACATACAAGATTTAGTTGTTTTTATTTGAACAGTGAGTACAGGCAAAGTAGTAGTACAACTTGTTTTCATTTTTTCTATCCTGAGAAAGAAATTCTAAGCTTTAAGTTTGGTAGTGATGAGTCAGTCATTTTTGGTAAGAAGTTAAGGTGTCTTATTTTAGTATTTTGGGGGTATGTGTTATTACTTGTGTGTGTGTGTTAGAGTCTCACTCTGTCTCCCAGACTGGCGGGCAGTGGCACATTCATGGCCACTGCAGCTCAACCTGCTGGGCTCAGGTGGTCCTTCCGCCTCAACCTTCCAAGTAGCTGGAACTACAGGTGCATGCTACCATGCCCGGCTTATTTTTTGATTTATTGTAGAGACAAGGTCTCACCAAGTTGTCCAGACTGGTCTCGAACCCCTGAGCTTAAGCAATCCTCTATCCTCGACCTCCCAAAGTGCTGGGATTACAGGCTTGAGCTACTGTGCCTAACCATATTACTTATTTTTGATAACTGTTTGTTCTTCTGTCCCAAGTCAGAAATTTATCACATTGTTTAGCCCCAAAAGAGGAATTTGGTCATAACTTCTTAGCTTTGTTTTCCCTGAGTTTTTTTTATGTCAGTTAATAGTTAAGTAAGTATGATAGTTGATTAATAGTGAGTTTTACTGTAGGTATTCCCCACAAGCTCTTAGTTTTCTATAGCTGAGAATAGAGTCGTCTCCAAGAATAACAAATCTTTCCTGATATGGTTTTAATGTTAATATGAATATCCACCTCTTATGTGAAGGTAACATTTCTGCCTCCCCATTCACATTAGCAGTTGTTACAGATTTTTTTGAAGCAGTCATTATGGATTTACATTAATTTGCACCTGATGTCCCCTTTAGGGGACATAAAGAGATTACAGGACAAACTTATGCAAGTGCAGATTTTTAAAAAATATATTTCCTTGAAGTTTTTCATTCAAAAATATTGAAAAAGATCTATGTCCTTTTTGAAATTTGTCAAGCTTCTGACTGATCAGTTGAGAAGTGATTTTCAGAAATCACTAGTGCATCCTTCCACATCTTCTTAAGGAACAACAGACTGGACAATAAATTACATGTTATGTAATGTGGGGAAAGAAAATGAGACTGCACTGTCTGCTCAAATAGAAAACACCAGGTAGAAGACATCAAACGAATTACTATTGCACCGCATGTATCAATGAACTGAGATGTAAGTTGGTGACTGTTTCACACATTACCACACGTTAGAAAAATATAAGATATAAAATCTTGGGGTTTTTTGTCATAAATAAATTCCTCAATGTCCAAAATTCTATTATAAGCCAAATATCATTATAGTAAAGTCATTGGTTACAGTGCTGTATACTATTGAATTGAAGTGATTAGTTTTTTCACTGTTTCGTAGAAAAGTATGGCTAAGTTGCTAGTAGGTGATCCACGGGATGTCTCTGAGTCCAAAGGGTTAATATATGTACCTAATTTGATCTGGCCTCATTGTGACTAATGAGTGTGCTAAATTTTTTAGTATGTTTTCCCTGTAGAAAGTAAAGTTACTGGCCCATTTGGAGAATGAACTCTAGGCCCTGTACTCTTTCTGAAACCCATGTTCTCATCAACTGAACTAAGTGTTAAGTGCCTGCAATATAAAGTAAATTAGTTAAGCAGAATTCCTACCTTCTAAGACACTGTGTTGTTTATATAGCATATGTAAATTCAAGAGCTTTTGATGAAATTGAAATGAGGGGGAAGACAGTAGTGCATGTATTATTTGAGAAAAACATATAATACATTTATTAAAATTTTATTTTAATTTTAAAGATGTGGGATACAATTCAGGATTAGGTATACAGATGTTCATTATGCAGGTACCCTTGTTGATGAGTTGTGCCCTCCCCTCCCCTGGCAGATTCCCGATATTACCAGTCCAGCTCCCCCCCCCCCCAGTTTCCTGCTACTGCCAATACTTTTCTTATAGTAATACGATAATTGTTCAAGATCCACCTATGAATGAGAAAATGTGATACTCAGTCCTTTGTTTCTGTTATAGATAATTTATTTTCTAGTCTGTTCTGTGATGGATCAAACACAGTTCTTTGTTTTTGTGTTTATTATAGACTCTTAAGTCCATTCAGGTTGCTGTGAAGTTCATAATTTTGTCTTTCTTTATGTCTGTGTAATATTCCATCGTGTTTTTTTTTCTTTTTTTTAAGAGATGGGATCTTACTCAGTTGCCCTGGCTAGAGTGTAGTAACATGATCATAGCTCATTGCAGCCTCAAACTCCGGGGCTCAAGTGATTCTTCCTCCTCAGCCTCCCAAGTAGCTGGATTATAAACATAAGTCACAGCACTCAGCCTTAAGATGTTATTTTAAATAGCAATTTTGAAAAGTCAGTTGGAGTGTATAAATGATTATGACATGATTAGAAATTCTACCACCCTGAATTACTGTAGACATGTTCTGCTGTTAAAGTGTTTGTGAAGTGCCATGCCCAGAATTGAAACTGAGATTCCTTTTTTTAAAACTGAGATTCTTTTAAAAAATTTTTATTTTTTTAGAGATAGAATCTCACTCTATCACCCAGGCCAGAGTGCAGTGGCAGTATCATAGCTCACTGCATCCTGGGCTCAAGGTCTCCTTCTACCTCAGGCTCCCAAGTAGTGAGGACTACAGTCATGTGCCACCATGCTTGGCTAATTATATTATTTTTTGTATAGGTAGGGTCTTGTTATGTTGCCTAAGCTGGTGTTAGCTCCTAGTCTCAAGTGATCCTCCTCCCTCAGCCTCCCAAATTACCAGGATTAGAGGCATAATCCACCATGCCTTGGCCTGAACTGAGATTCTCAGATGGTTTGAAGAGCCCCCAGTGGTCCATATTGACCTGTTTTCTGAACATTATCTTTGCTATTAGTTTGATAACTTTACATTAACTGTCCAGTTTTGTTTAAGGTAAAAGGTAACAGTTTTACATTTCTTGAATGTAATGGTTTTATACTTATTTAATGAATAATAAATATAATTATATAGTGCTTACTGTGGTCCAGGTCCTTTTCTAAGTAGTTTACAGATATTAATTCTTAACAACTACATACAACTATTTAAATGTTTTTATATGAATTTTAGACATTTGTTAAGTGTTAGATTTCTTTTAGCGTAAGCATCTTTCCTGGTATTACTGTGTAATCATGCTTTGAATTGTTTTCGTTAAGTTTATCAAATATTTCATTCATCAAATTATATTCATCAGATATAATTAAGGTAGACATTAATATTAAATTGAAAAAATTTAAAATAATCATTTTTTGCTTTTTATTTCAGCTTTACCAACAGGGACGCTTATGTCAACTGGGCAGTGAATTTTGTGAATTGGAAGTTTTTGCTAAAGTATTAAGAGCTTTGGATAAAAGGTAAATTTTTTAAAAACTGTAAATATACATAACAGTTTGCTATTTTAACCATTTTTAACTGTACAGTTCAGTGGTATTAAGTACATTCACATTGTTGCGCAGCCATCAACAGCATCCATTTTCAGAACATTTTCATTATCCCAAACAAAAACTTTGTATCCTTTAAGTAATAACTCCCCATTCCCTTCTCCCCTCAGCCTGGCAGTTTTACCATTGTTCTTTCTGTCTATATGAGTTTGATTACTCTTGTACCCTATGTAAGTAGAATTCTATAATATTTGCCCTTTTGTATCTGTCATATTTCACTTAGCATGTTTTTAAGATTTATCTATGTAGTAGCATGTATCAGAATTTTATTTTTATTTAAAGTCAGATAATCTGTTGTATGCATATACCATGTTTGGTTATCCATTCGTCTGTTGGTGGATATTTGGATTGTTTCTACCTTTTCACTAGAGTGACTAATACAGCTGTGAACATGGGTATATAACTATACTTCAGGCTCATGCTTTCAATTATTTTCATTATATATCCAAAAATGGAGTTGCTGGATTATATGGTAATTCTGTTTCTATTATTTGTTTATTTCAGAGATGTGGTCTCATTTTGTTGCCCAGGCTAGCCTCAAACTCCAGGCTCAAATGATCCTCCTGCTTCAGCCTTTTTAGTAGCTGGGGCTATAGGCACTTGCCACTGTGCCCGGCTTCTTTTTTTTTTTTTTTCCCTGAGTGTCCCAGGCTTCTTTATTTAAGAACTAAGTGATACGTGATGTGGGGCTTAAAATCAAGAGCATCGTTGAACTTCACCTTCATCCAGTTTTCCTACTAGCTGCCCCCACCCTTTGTGTTCCCAGTTTCTTCCTTAGTGAATGAAGAACTTCAGCCCAAAAACTCTAGTACAAATTCCAGGTTCTTCTTCCATAGTATCTTCCCTTTCTCTGTCCCCCATTCCTAGAAGGGAAGTCACCTCAGTTTAAATGCATGGGAGAGCCCAGAGTGGTAACAGAGACAGAGGGAAAGGCTTCCCCCTCAGGGAAAGGGACTGAGGAATACAGCGTAATGAAGTGAGGACCCCCATAGCTTGTGGTACCAACATGGGGTCCTGGAGCCAGAGGAAAAGATACTGGTCCCCCTGAGAAAGGAGACCCAGCAACCTTGTAATCCTCTCGTTGTGAATAGTCACTGCTTGATAGCTTGCCCTTCTGGCGCCGATTACAGAACCACACTCGGACCACATCCTTCTCAAACTGGGCAATGTGGCTGATCTGCTGCAATGTTGGTTTTGGGCACTGCAGCAACAAGGTCTCCAGGTTGCTCCTCACTCGGTTCTCAATACTTGTTCTCTTTCTCTTTCGGGCCCACACGAGGGTCTCTGCTTTGCATATCTCCTGAAGATGTTTTTTTTTTTTTTTTTTTTGAGTTGGAGTCTCACTCTGTCGCCCAGACTGGAGTGCAGTGGCTGCTCCTGGCCACCACAGCCTCGACCCGCTGGGCTCCGGTGATCCTTCTGCCTCAGCCTTCTGAGTCGCCAGAATTACAGGCACATGCTACCATGCCCGGCTGATTATTTATTGTAGAGATGAGGTCTCGCCAAGTTGCCCAGGCGGGTCTCGAACCCGCAGGCTCACGCAGTCCACTCACCTCAGCCTCCCAAAGCGCGGGATTACAGGCTGAGCCACCGAGCCCAGCTTTCTCCTGAAGATTTTCATTATTGTCAGCTTCCTCCACCCACTTCTGTAGCAGGGGCTGTAACTTACACATGTTCTTGAAACTCAGCTGCAGAGACTCAAAACAACAGATAGTCGTTTGAACACCTTCCCAAAGAGAACCCCCAGGGTGAGCCCCTCATCAGCCTGGATATATCCCAGAGTGATCCTCTTCTGCTTCAGGAGGTTGGCAAGTTGTTCAAGTTCTTTCTGCAGAGCTTTAATGTCCTGAGACTACTCAGGGTTTTGCTCCAGCTTCTCGTTCTCCAGCTTCATGGCACCAGGGGGGACAGTGCAGGGCTGAGGGGAGAACCCCTCAGAGTTGCTTTCCACCCTAGCTCCTGCCTCACCCTCAGGCTGAGAGATCTCCAGGCCACCTTGGGGCACTAGCCCCACTCCAACCTGCGGTCCACAGTATACCATACCTACACAGAACTCATATGGTGGGGGGCACGGGGGAATCCCCCACACCTCAGAACCTGGCCCGACTCCTGGCCCAATTCCTGGACCTCCAGGAGGGCCTTGAAAGCTTAGCCAGATCCGAGGGTTAACCCAGCCTGATTAACCCAGCGAGAGTTAATCTGGCCCTCCTGGCCCAGTGCCTCCACCACCTGGCGGGGGCGAAAAGGCAAAATCCAAAGCCAGGTGTCCCGCCATGGGGAAGGCCCCAAGCCGGGGGCCTGGGGAAATGAACCTGGCTTCTATTTTTAATTTTTTGAGAAACTGCCATGCTGTCTTCCATAAATTCATTTTTAAGTGACATTTTGAAAAGTTAATTTCTTATGTGATTTAAAAACTATTTTATAAATATGATTATATCAGAAAATTTAGAATGACTACAATAATCTTGACTTTATAAGTATAGTGCTGACTGGGCATGGTGGCTCATGTCTATAATCCCAGCCCTTTGGGATGCCAAGGTGGGAGGATTCTTGAGTCCAGGAAGGGGTTCAAGACCAGCCTGGGCAACAGGGCGAGACCTCATCCCCGCAAATCAAAAAATTAGCCAGGCATTGTGGCACACACCTGTAGTCCCAGCTATTTAGGAGTCTGAGGCAGAAGGGTTATCTGAACCCATAGTACTCCAGCCTGGGTGACAGTGAGACTCTGACTCAAAAATTAAAAAAAAAAATGACTGGGTGGGGTAACTCACACCTGTAATCCCAGCTCTTTGGAAGGCCAAGGCAGGATCAGCCTTTAATTAAAAATTAAATAAATAAGTATAGTGCTAATATAAATCTATAAAACTGTTTCATTGAGAAATTGCCTCAAATTGTTTTTTTGTGCGTCTGGTATTATTTTAGTATGAGTTACATTAGCTTATTTGTAGTTGTTATCAGAAGCTCTGTCTTGCCTTGTTTTAGTCACTTTGTTTCCCTCCCCTAGAGTAGCCAGTAGGTTTACGTCACATGTTTTAGAACTTCATATAAATAGAATTATGTAGTTTGTAGCCTTTTGTGTCTGGCCTTTTTTTTTTCTTTCTCAGTATTATGTTTATGAGACTCACCCATGTTATGTGCAATTGTAGTTTGTTCATTCTCATTGCTATATGTGTATAGTGTTTTATTATATGAATATATCAGTATTTATTTTTGATTGACATTTGGGTTGTTTCCAGTTTTTAGCTATTAAGAATAGTGCTGTGACCATTCTTGTACATGTCTTTTCATGAACATATGTTTGCACATCTATTAGATCTATACCTAAAAGAAGAATTTGAAAGCAGTTTGAGGTTTACAACTCAAGGAATGCTCACCAGCATGATAGAGAATATAGTGAAAATATTGTAACAGTAATTGTCCAGCACAAACACATAAGCTGGGTGAAAAGGAGAGAGTTTGTTCTGCCTACCTCTATCCCTTCAAAGTTAACACTGGCAGTTTAGCTTTTTGAGTTTAAGAAGGGGAGAATGAGTTAATCTTTCTCATTGTAGGTATTATCAGGTAGTAGGAACCACAGAGAGATGAGCTGGCTGTGCTTGCTATTCTCTCTAGTGTTCTTCCTTCAATTTGCTTTAACTGCTGTTTCTTTCTCCTAACCCACATTTCTATGAAAATAAGAATAGGCTGGGCATGGTGACTCACGCCTATAATCCCAGAACTTTGGGAGGCTGAGGTGAGAGGATTGCCTGAGCCCACGGGTTTGAGACCAGCCTGGGCAACTTGGTGAGACCTCATCTCTACAATAAATCAAGAAAAATTAGCTGGGCATGGTGGCATGTGCCTGCAGTTCCAGTTACTTGGAAGACTAAGGTGGAAGGATTGCCTGAGCCCAGCACGTTGAGGCTGTGGTGGCCATGTACATGCCACTGCACTCCAGCCTGAGCAACAGAGTGAGACTCTGACTCAAAAAGAAAAATAATAAAAAAACATAGCTTCACAAAATACTGCTGATCTCTAATAAATGTACTACAAAATGTTTCATTTGTTCCACAAATTTACTAAATAAATACCTGTTGAATGCCTAGTATGTGCCAGATACTGTTCTAAATCCTGGGGATGTAGCAGTGAGTGAGATCTACAAGGTTGCTTCCTCAAGGAGTTTGTATTTTAGAGAGGGGTGATAGGATAATAAGTAAGTAAGCTGGGCTCGGTGGCTCAGCCTGTAATCCATGCCTTGGGAGGTTGAGGTGAGTGGATTGCCTGAGCCCGCGGGTTCGAGACCCGCCTGGGCAACTTGGTGAGACCTCATCTCTACAATAAGTCAAAAAACTAGCTGGGTGTGGTAGCGCTCACCTGTAATTCCAGCTACTTGGAAGGCTGAGGCGGAAGGATCGCCAGAGCCCAGCATGTCGAGGCTGCGGTGGCCGGGAGCGGCCACTGCACTCCAGTCTGGACAACAACGTGAGACTCCAACTCAAAAAAAAAAAAGTTAATAAGTAAGTAACATGATTTCACTGTTCAAGGATAACTTTGATATGTGGCTTGTGTACTAAGGTTTTAGAAAAACTTCTTGGTTGATTAATTAAACTTAGTCTGTAAAACAAAATAATAGAGGAGAACTTCTTCTTTGGTAAAAGACTGCTACAGAAAAACATTTTAAAATGTTCTTTACTCAAAGGTTTAGCTTTCAGGAATTTGAATCTGTCTATACAGTTCTAAATGTGACCATCTCTTAGATTATTTCAATTTCATATATTTGTTAAACTAAAAGTATGTAATTTGACTTTCCCCCCCTTTATCCAAAGCAGGGACTGTTACTTACAGTTTTGTTTTTTAAAGACTTTATTTTTTAAAGACTTTATTGAGACATAAGTCATACATCATAAAATTCACCACTTAAAAATTAGTTATTTACAAGATTTTGCAAACATTACCACTATCTAATTCTAGATCATTTTATCACCCCCAAAAGAAACCAATAACAGTCACCATTTCCTCATACCTTTGGCACCTGACTGACCATTAATCTACTTTCTGTCTCTCTGAATTTACCTATTCTGGATACTTATATAAATGGAATCATACAATATATGGTGTTTTGCATCTGACTCTTTCACTTAGCACAATGTTTTTAAGGTTCATTCATGTTACTTATATCAGTACTACTTTCCTTTTCCATGGCTGAATAATTGTCCCTTGTAAGGATAATACTGCATTTTGTTTATCTAGTCGTCTATTGAACATTTAGGTTGTTTCCACCTTTTAGCTATTTTGAATAATACTGCTGCAGATGTTCTCAAACAGGAATTTGTGTGGAGGTATTCTCAATTCTTTTGGGTATATAATATGGTAACTCTATTTTTAGCTTTTTGGGGAACTGCTAAACTGTTTTTTGCAGCAGCTGCACCACTTTACATTTCCACCATCAATGTACGAGGGTTCCAGTTTTTTCACATCTTGTCATCACATAAAAAAGATACATGTATATAATGGGCTCAGTGGCATGTGCCTGTACTCCCAGCTACAAGGGAGGATTATTTGAGGCTGGGAGTTAAAGACCAGCCTGAGCAGCACAGTAAGACCCCCATCTCTAAGAAATAAATAATTTTAAAACATTTATTAATAGCCATTCTAATGGTAGTGAAGTAGTATCTCATTATGATTTTGATTTATGTCTCTCTAATCAACAATGGTGTTGAGCATCTTATTTTGTGTTTATCGGTCATTTGTATATCTTTTTTTTTGAGGTAGGGTCTTGCTCTATCACCCAGGATAGCGTACAGTGATATGATCATAGTTCACCTGCAGCCCTGAGCTCTTGGACTCAAGTGATCCTTCCACCTCAGCCTCCAAAATAGCTGGGAGTACAGATGCACACCACCACACTGGCTGATTTTTATTTTTTGTAGAGATGAGGTCTTGTTGTGTTGCCCAGGCTGGTTTCAAACTCCTGGCCTCAAGTGAATCTCCTGCCTCAGCCTTCCAAAGTGCAAGGATTACAAGCGTGAGCCATCACACCTGGCCCATTTGTGTCTCTTCTTTGGAGAAATGTCTGTTGAAATCTGTTGGTCATTTTTAATTGGGTTATTTGTCTTTTTATTGTTGAATTACAGTTTTTAATTAATTAATTTTTGTTTTAGATTCAAGGAGTACATGTGCAGGTTTGTTCAATAGGTATATTGAGTGGTGGTAAGATTTGGACTTCTGTTGAATCAGTCACCCAGATAGTGAACCTGGTACCCAGTAGATAGTGTTCATTCCTTGCCCTCTGCTTTAGGAGTCCCCCAGTGTCTATTGTTCTCATCTTTATGTCCATGTATGCTCATTGTTTAGCTCCCACTTAATAAGTGGGAACATTCTGTATTTGGCTTTCTCTTTCTGCATTAATTTGCTTAGAATAATGGTCTCCAGCTGCATCCATGTTGCTGCAAAGGACATGATTTTGGTTTTTTGTTTTTTTGGCTTTGTATAATTTGGTTTTTAAAACTGATTTTTAAAAGTTAGCTTTGTCCTTCATTGCCATCAAGTTACCTACTGTATACTTTTCTTGAGTGTTGTAAAGATATTAGACAAATACTTTTTATCTTATTCCATCCTGGAAAATAATGGTGCTGTTATTTAAAAGAGAAACAGCTAGCACTTTCTAAAAGGACAGAGATAAGTTACCTGTATAAAATAACCTTTTTCTTCTCTTTCAGACATTTGCTTCATCATTGTTTTCAGGCTTTGATGGATCATGGTGTCAAAGTTGCTTCAGTTTTGGCCTACTCATTCAGTAGACGGTGCTCTTATATAGCAGAATCAGATGCTGCAGTAAAGGAAAAAGCCATTCAGGTTGGCTTTGTTTTAGGTAAGTGATGAAAAAATAGAGGAGTATTGTGTCCTGTGATGGACTCAGAATTAAACCTGCTAACAGTGAATGATTCTTCCAGGACTTTCTTGAAGTCTACATAAGGGGGTTAGGAGAAGAACATCAGAACTACTTGTGATTTATTAAACACTAACTCTGTGCCAAGTACTAATACTAGGCATTTAAATGGTATCTTTGTAAATCCTTATGACATTCCAGTAAAGTGATGGGGGTTTTTTTGTTTTGTTTTGTTTTTTTGTTTTGAGTTGGAGTCTCACCCTGTTTCCCAGGCTCAAGTGTAGTGGCATGCTCATGGCCACTGCAGCCTCAACCTGGTGGGCTCAGGCAATCCTTCTCCCTCAGCCTTCCAAGTAGCTGGAACCACAGATGCATGCCACCATACCCGGCTGATTTTTTAAATTTGTTGTAGAGACAAGGTCTCACCATGTTGCTCAGGCTGGTCTCAAACCCCTGAGCTCAGGCAGTCCTCTCACCTGTGGCTCCCAAAGTGCTGGGATTATAGGCATTAGCCACCGCACCTGACTGAGAACATTCTTTTCTGAAAAGAGCCCTCAGCATTTTTCGTTTAATAGTCTCATGGAATGACAGTTGCAACAAAGAATTGTCCAAAGAATGTCTAACAGTAGTGTTTGTGATCCTCGATGAATGTTAGAATGTTAAGGCTGACATCCCCTTAGTTCTTGATGATTCTGTAAAAAAATTTGTGCTGGTAAGAAATTCAGTATCAAGGAAGGTGAAAGTTGGGAGCGCTAGTATTCACTGAAGTTCTTTGTTATCTCCACATATGATTACACCAATCTTGCCATTGTAATGACCCAAATAGACAGATACTTGGAGAGAGAACCAAGTCCATGTGTTCATATTATCAATCTTAATCCTAAAATTATGCAGAGTATAAAAACATTATATCAGATGTATACAGTGATAAAAATAGTTTTTAAAAATAACATTCTTATTGAGATGTAATTTGCATGCCATACAATTCTCCTGTGGAAAATATACAATTCAGTGGTTTTTAGTACATTCACAGAGTTGTGCAAACATCACCACAATATGTTTTACAACATTGCCACCTCCCCAAAAGGAAAGCATACCTAATTAGCACTCACTTTCCATTTCCCATTTCTGTCTCTATAGATTTGCCTGTTCTGTACACTTTATACAAATGGACTCATAAGATATATGGCTGGCAAAATAATTTTATATATATAGATATATAGATATATATATGTATATATATATATATATCCTTTGTGACTTGTTTTATTTAGCATAATATTTTCAAGATCTACTCATGTTAATATAAAGAATTTTAAACCAGATATTAGAGAACTGAAAAGGCAAAAAGGGAACACTAGGGTGTTATGGAAATAGCAGCTCTAAGAGTCAGCTCCCATACCTAGGGCTTGGGGAACCAAGGGAAGAAGTTGGGATTATTAAAATTTAGAAGCTTGAGGATGTGCCCCATGGAGTTGGGTTGCTGCTAGGCTGTTGCTGGTGTCTCAGAGGTTTGAAAAGGGTCCCCTAGAATCTAGACCTGTATGAGGAGCACCTGGCTGGCTGTTGCTGTTTTCTGATGGAGTGCTGTGAAACTGGTTTTACAAGTAGTGGAAAACTGGGAGCTTGTATTGATTATTACTTACCGGAATGAACTGCTGCTGCCAGCGTAAAGAAGCAGTCTCTGGGATGTTTCTGTAAGAAGGAGCCATGCTGACAGAAACAGGGAGTGTCCCTTGTTCTTCCAAATCTTGCAGCTCCTTTCTTTAGTGCCTCCTCTTGGCAGAGTCTAATAGGGAGCCTGCTGGCAAAGGAGGAATGTGGTTTGCATGGTCCTTACCTCATTATCATAAAACAGAGTCTAGAAGTGTAGAATTGAAGCTAAGAGACGATATCCTAATAACCAGCACAACCTGCAATGTGTTGGAATGATGAATAGAAGGTTGCTTAGTATGAATATGTGTAATGACCTCACTATTCTAGTTATTTGGTGAGGACTCTAGAATTTTCTAAAGCACACTTCTCTCTAGTTCATTAAAAAAAATTGTTTGATTGCATTTAGCTTTAATTAAACAAAAAAATAGGTCTGAGATAAATATGCTTTGTTGACTCCGACATTATTGACACTATTAAGATATACTTTTAGTTTACCAAGAAAAATAAATGCTGCCAATTATTGTAGTACATTATTATTATTATTATTATTATTGAGCCAGAGTCTCACTCTGCTGCCCAGGCTGCAGTGCAGTGGCATGCTCATGGCCACCTCAGCAGGGCTCAGGTGATTCTTTTGCCTCAGCTTTCCAAGTAGCTGGAACTATAAGCGCGCTATCACACCCAGCTAATTTTTTTATAAATTGTATAGACAAGTTGCCCAGGCTGGTCTTGAACTCCTGGGCTCAGATTATGCTCTCACTCCAGCCTCCCAAAGTGCTGGTACTACAGGCTTGAGCCACCAGTACACCATTATTTTTATGATACATTGTAATTTTAGAGATTTTTTTTTAGATTGGAAAATATAGTTTATTTAGAAAGTAAATTGGTGGGGGGTGTGGAAGAGAGAGGGCCAAAACTTAGGAAAACATGGTGGCCATCACTCAAAGAGCCACATGGCCAGACCAGAGCTTAACAAAGCCATGGTAGATCTTAGAGATTTTTAACGGTGCAAAAAAAGTATTTTAGGATTGAAGAACTAACAGTGTGTTGCTTTCTGCTTTCTGTTTATTGTAACTAACCCTGAATAGCACTTAGAAAGTGTTCCTCATAATAGCTAATGTAGTATAGTAACTACAGATTTAGTCTCTGATGTCAGATTGTGTGGATTTGAATGAATATTTTTACTTAATAACTTATAAGCTTTGATTTCTCTGTGACTCAAGCATTTTCATCTATGACATTGAGGCAGTAATTGCATTTAAGTTGAAGGTGTATTGTGAGAGTTAAATGAGAGAATTCATGCAGAATGATAGTAAAAATATATTGAATGTTAGCCATTATGAAAGGTCAAAATTCTCAAAAAGATTGATATATTCTAAGGAAATGATGTCCAGGGCAATAATTTAATTTCTTGTCTCCCGCCCCCCAAAAAAGATGATTTTGTATCACTGTCTTTTTTTATCTGTATATCCCTCTATGATGTGCTCCTGTGCTAAGAAGATTACATGTGTTCAGATTTCTTTATCTTGTTTGAGATTGGATATTGGGAGATTGAAAAGTTGTATGTACACTACAAGATGAAAATTGTAGAATAATTAGAACTTAGTTAACTCGTTAGCTGGAAAATGTTCCAGCTTTGATCCTGATTCCCCTGGTTCAAAACTTTGTAAAATCTCACAGTTTATATCTATGTTTTAAGCCAAACACATAACTTTAGTATGATGGGGTTTTTTGTTTTTAGTTTGGATAAAAATATTCACTGTAAGCATGTCATTTTAACTTTCAGGCAGTTTATTAAATTATCTAAAGTTCCTGGTGTTTCTTGTTCTTCAGGTGGCTTTCTTTCAGATGCAGGCTGGTACAGCGATGCTGAAAAAGTTTTTCTGTCCTGCCTTCAGTTGTGTACTCTACATGATGAGATGCTTCATTGGTTTCGTGCAGTAGAATGCTGTGTTAGGTAAGTTGAAACATAGCCTACAATTATGTGCTGTTGCTATAATGGTACTTAGTGGCTTTTATAGTTTTATCTCTTCTAAGTATATGCCAGCGTTTGAATAAATTGCTGAGATGATGTTTACATGTTAGTTTCACTAGTCTGGCCTTCACTATCCAATCTCAAAAATATAGTTAATTTGCTATAGACTTCTTAGCTTAGATTTGAGTATTATGAGCCAGAATGTGTGTCTTTCTTTTTTTTAAATTTGAGTCAGAGTCTTACTCTGTTGCCTACTCTGGAGTGCAGTGGCACAATCATGGCTCACTGCAACTTCGACCTTCTGGGTTTAGATGATCCTTTTGCCTCAGCCTCCAGAGTAGCTGGGACTACAGGCATGTGCCACACATCTGGCAGATTTTTAAAGTTTTTTTGTAGAGACAAGGTCTTGCTATGTTGCCCAGGCTGGTCTCAAATTCCAGGACTCAAGTAATCCTTTTTTTTTTTTTTAAATTCATTAAACAAATATTTATTTAATGCTCATTGTGTACTAGGAACTGTGATAGGCACTGGATGCTAGGAAATTCCAGAAATGTCTTTTTTTCTTGAATGTTACTTTTTTACCCCTGCTTTGTTTTCATTTCCATAGTTGTGCATAACAAGATGAGTATTTTACTTATATTATACTTTTCTTTGAAGATACATTTTTTTTTTACAGCTGTACTTAAAGGCAAGGAAATCTAGAAGTAACTTTGCTTTTCTTGTCCTTATTTTTCCTGCACATGTAGCATTTAGCTTTAGCTGTTTTTATACAGGTATTCTCTTTGTTCCTTAGTTTGCTTTGACATTTCCTAAAAAAGAATTTTCTATATAAAATTAAAGGAAAATCAAAATAAAGTCAAAAAATGAAATACGAAATTTTTTTATCCTCAGTTTACGGAATTTAGTTTTCTATTTTTATGTAATTAAGGTAGGTACATATTTTCTAGGTATTTTACAGATGAGTTACTTAAATCTGAACTTCTTCAGAGCTAGAATATAGATTCTTCTATAAAACCATTGCTGATTTATGCTAAAATTGAGTAAAATGTTCTCTCTGTCTCTTGCCAGTTGATTTCAGTCTTTTGCCACTGCCATTGCCCTTACCTGTGTTAGAGAAACATTCAAATCCTGAAGTTAATTTTGAAATGTGCAAACATAATTGTAAATAATATTTGAGAAGCTGATGATAATTTTTCACATATATTTTAGAAATATATGATAAATTATAAGAATATCTATGTGCAGAAACTCAAAGGGATTGGTACTTGGGCCTATAATTTATAGTACTGATAAAAATACTCTCTGTATCATCTTTCTTCTTCTGCCTATTCTATTTTTGTAGGAATAGGAGACTAGACTATTCCATATATGATTTGGGGAGGTTAGTTAAATAATTCTATGTACATGAACTTTGTTAATTTGGAACAGAAAAGCCATTTGTATGATTTTATTATAGATTTTTTTTTATGGCAGTCTTGTCCATAAGATAAATTGTTTTCTTTTTGTATGTGCTTGATTTTTACTGCCAAATTTATTTCATCCAAATACCTAATGTTTCTTCTGTCTGCCTGATTTTAAAGCTTCCATATAAATTTTGCTGTAGCTTAACAAAGCATTTTAGTTTTCTTATAGAAGCAAGTTTCCTTCCCGCCTTCTAGTTTGTCATCTTTAGCAAATAGCTCACATCATTATAATTGCAAATGTTCACAGGCACAGAGAAGAGGGGAAGGCAAAAGGCTCATGCCAGCTGAGTCCGCTTTTTTTTTTACTCAGGAAGAATAGCTTTCATAGAAGCCTAACCCTGTCTCTTTGCTTATCGGTCTTTTAAACTGGGAATCTGGGGCACATTCTGCACATCTTCCAATCTGTGTAATGTGGTGTGGGAAGTAAAACATTTTTAATTGTGCTTATTGCTACCCTGAACGAACTCATGAATCTACATTAAGCAAGAAATGTGGAGAACGTTGAATAGACAACTGACAATTTGGTGACTACTTTGGCTATCTTTGCAACAAACACATGTGAAATCAGAATTTTGTCTGGACCAAGGAACAAAACCGTTTTTAATACCAGCTTACTGCCTGTATACCAAGATATTTTGTCCTTATGAATTTGAAATTTCAAAATAAGATTTGCCTCTGTTCAACTACACCTCCCAAATTATTTTCCGTACAGGTGTACTTAATATAATTTATATACAATATATAATTTTTTTATCTACTTAATATTATTTGAAAAAAAGGCTAAATTTTTCTGACTTAGCTTTTTTTTTAAGGCAGAAAGAAATATGGGGTCAGTTGAATTGGAAAAGAAGTATTTTGCAGGACAGATACTAATGAAATCTTTTGACCAATCCCTGGGGCTCTAAGCCTGATATAAAAGTAAGAATGTGTTTTTCAATTAATATCATAAAACCAATTTCTAATCTTTGGAGCTGACATCAAAACATTATAGAACATATGTGAGAGAACCTTCTAGGTTTTTCTTAATGGAAAATAGTTGAACCTAGTAATATTTTTCAGTCCTTTTGTAATCTTTAAGGACTTTACCTTTTTTCCCTCTACTTATTTTCACTTTAATAGCCTTTTTTGTTTGTTTTGGTTTGTTGTTGTTGTTTTTTTTTTGCTTATACATGTCTATTGCCAAACACATCCAGAAAATACAGAAACTATGAAGAAGAAAATTGTCTGTTTTTGCTTTGGAGTTTTACTCTGTTGCCCAGGCTGGAGTGCAGTGGCACGCTAATGGCTACTGCAGCCTCAACTTACTGGGTTCAGGCATACGCCACCACACCCAGTTAAATTTTTGATTTATTGTAGAGACGAGGTCTCACCAAGTTGCCCAGACTGGTTTTGAACTCCTGGGCTCAGGCAGATCTCTTGCCTCTGCCTCCCAAAATACTGGGATTACAGGCATGAGCTACTACACCCGGCCCAAAAATTATCTATAACTCTACTTCTCAAAAGTAACCATAATTACTGAATTAGTAAATTTTGGACAGTGACAAACTTAAAAGCACATTCTTGATCCCCTTTTTCCACCCTTTTCTCTGGAATTAATCAATCCATGTGAGCATGGTTTGTCTGAAGTCAGAAGTTCTATAGAGACCTTTGGGCAGAGATTGCCTTTGGGCTTCTGAGGGTGGGACAGAGCAAACTTATTTTTTATTTTTTAAATTTTCGTCTTTTTTTTTTTTTTGAGTTGGAGTTTCACTCTGTCATCCAGGCAGGAGTGCAGTGGCGCAATCGTGGTTCACTGGGCTCAGGCGATCCTTCTACCTGGGCTCAGGCGATCCTTCTACCTCAGCCTCCCGAGTTACTGGGACTACAGGCACAGGCCACCATGCTGACCTAATTTTTTGATTTTCAAAATCATGGACATGTACTACTTTGATAGTTCTTTCTTTTTTTCTTTCTTTTTGAGTTGGAGTCTCACTCTGTCGCCCAGGCTGGAGTATAGTGGCATGCTCATGACTACCGCAGCCTTGACCCGCTGGGCTCAGGTGATCTGCCTCAGACTTCCAAGTAGCTGGAACTTCAGGCACACGCCACCATGCCTGGCTAATTTTCTGATTTATTGTAGAGATGAAGTCTTGCCAAGTTGCCCAGGCTGGTCTTGAACCTATGAACTCAGGCAGTCCTCTCACCTTGGCCTCTCGAAGTGCTGGGATTATAGGCAAGAGCCACTGCGCCCGGCCCAGTTCTTTTTTAAAATAGAGATGGAGGTCTCACTATATTGCCCAGGCTGGACTTGAGTTCTTGGGCTCAACAATCCTCCTGTCTCAGCCTCCAGAAGTTCTGGGATTATAGACATGAGCCACCACACCCAGCTTCTTTTTATTTAAATGGTAAAAAACTTCCTGAACTTGTGAGGTCTGTTTGTAAATACTTGAATCTGGATTGAAAGAGAATCCTGAGTCCTAGGCTATTTAACTTCCTGAAATCCAAAGATAAATGAAAATTAGAAGCTAGAAAAAAGTAGCAGTATCTCAATTATTGAGAGAAAATACTATATACTCCACAAACTTTTGGGACAAAAGAAATAATTTTCACATATTTGAAGACCCAGTATACCTCCATATACCTTATCTGAGGAAAATACTGGATGGATTTCTCTTGCCTAATGAAAGTTCAATAACAAATCTCCAGATAGGGGAGGATGGTATAGAAATAGTGATAAGTAGTTAATATTGTAGTATGAGAAATGAAAAACATGTCAATGGAGTAGGAAGAGAACGAAGAGCAAATTTGTAATTTGTAATTGGTCTTAAGTAAAGATTCTTTTCAAACCAGAGATGAAAGGGAAATGTTAGAAGTAACGAGACAGAAATCATCAGTCACCACATCTTCTTAAATATAAGATAAAGTTGGGGTCCCCCCCCAAAAGAATTATCTCATAGTAAAGACAGTTGCATTACAAAGTCTTTCATGTTATGTGATGTTTTTTCAAGTCTGTTATAGGCCAAATGTTCCTAATCCAAAAATTTGAAATCTGAAATGCTTCTGGTCCCAGACATTTCAAGAAAGGGTTACTCAGTCTATATTTTGAACAAGAGTACTATTTAAGAAAGAAATGTTAACCTGAACTTCAGTCAGTGCTGATGTCAGAAAGCTCATAGACACCACCTGGCAGATTTTTCTTTTTAAAAAAGTAATAGACCGGGCTTGGTGGCTCAGCCTGTAATCCCAGCGCTTTGGGAGGCCAAGGTGAGTGGATTGCCTGAGCCCGTGAGTTCGAGACCTCATCTCTACAATAAATCAAAAATTAGCCGGGTGTGGTAGCGCGTGCCTGTAGTTCCAGCTACTTGGAAGGCTGAGGCAGAAGGATCGCCAGAGCCCAGCAGTTCAAGGCTGCAATGGGCGGGAGCAGCCACTGCACTCCAGTCTGGGTGACAGAGTGAGACTCCAACTCAAAAAAAAAAAAAAAAAAAAGAAAGTAATAATATTTAACAGATTCAGAATTACTCTGGAGGTTATGACCTT